GGGTTACTGCAAATCAGAAACTGCCATTTTCCCTGTAGCAGTTTGAGTGCACCTAATGGAACACTTGGGAACGCATTATTAACAGCTTTGAGTTGAGGGTAGTGGTGGGGAGGGAGTACTCTGGCATGGGAGAAACCCGAGGCCCTTTGCAAGAATGCCTCTTTGCAAGAGGCATTCTTTGATGGTTGAAACTACAAATAGGGCTCAAGCATGGCCTAAAAGACAAGGAGGGAGAAGGTTCCTTTTCAAAATAAGCTAATTCTGCTAACACAGAAACATAGTGCCCTTTGATATTTTGATCTGAAATGGCTACTAATCCAAGAGGGCAAAGGTAACTCTGGGCTCTGAGATGGCACGGAAAGTGCCAGAGCCCATCATAAGCTCTTCCACCTGCGGCGCCAACAAATGTAGGAAGCAGATTAAACAGAAAGCATTTGGAAACAGGCGCAGTTCCACTTTCCTGCAACTGTTAGTATCTGCACAGGGATAACCCAGTGTCTACAGAGGGATAACCTAGGGCATTACTAAGGATTTTAACAATTTGGTGTGAAAACGCCAATATTCTAGAAAATGACAGAAAGGATAATCCTATAGGGAGGTAAAAAAAATTAGGACCATCTTTTTAAACAGTGGACATTTCAAACACTGACTTCTAGTTTCCCTACTGCATTGTACAGAGGTGGGTATAGACTTCTACATGATAGGTCATTCAAACTTGACTGGGAGACACATTTCTTTCTTTTTTTTTTTTAAGATTTTATTTATTTGTCAAAGAGAGAGAGAGCGAGAGCACAAACGGGGTAGCGGCAGGCAGAGGAGAAGCAGGTGCCAGCTGAGCAGGGAGCCCGACGTGGGGCTTGATCCCAGGACTCTGGGATCATGACCTGAGCCGAAGGCAGCCGCTTAAACAACTGAGCCACCCAGGCGCCCCTGGCAGACTTCTTTCAACGCAGCAGCACACCTAGTAGCAGAGTGCAGAAAGGACAGGCTGAGTTTTCAGTGTGAACCCATGTATTCAGAAACATCTGCAAACTGGGGCGCCTGGGTGGCTCAGTTGGTTAAGCGACTGCCTTCGGCTCAGGTCATGATCCTGGAGTCCCGGGATCGAGTCCCACATCGGGCTCCCTGCTCAGCAGGGAGTCTGCTTCTCCCTCTGACCCGCCTCCCTCTCATGCTCTCTGTCTCTCATTCTCTCTCTCGAAATAAATAAAATCTTAAAAAAAAAAAAAGAAAAGAAAAGAAACATCTGCAAGCTGTCTGCTTGTGGTTCTGCACATGTCTCTACTGCTCTAGACACAGCAACATTTAAGATGACTTGAAAAACCAAGTGCAACTAAGCCTTTGGGAGAGGAGCAACCAGAACACGCATATTGTATGGACAGGGAGTCAGAAAGCGGGAGGACCAGGTACCAGGTCCCCACAAATACTACGGGAGTACAGTGCTGAGCAATGTATGCATAAACTTAACATAGAACCATGGCTCCAGCAACAAGGTCGATCACTCCTGTGAAGGAACTATGAGAATAAACAGATGCTATTCTATTACCACCTCTCAGTACAGCCCAGAAAAATTATTCAGTCTAACCAGTTCAGAAGTATTTTTTCTTTACACACAATAGCACAGAGGACAAAGAGAAGTTTGTAGAACAAATTATCATTATTTTTTTTATTATTATGTTATGTTAATCACCATACATTACATCATTAGTTTTTGGTGTATAGAACAAATTATTTTTTAAAACATTCTATTCCAGGGGCACCTGGGTGGCTCAGTCGGTTGGGCGTCTGCCTTCGGCTCAGGTCATGATCCCAGGACCCTGGGAACGAGTCCCGCATCGCACTGGGTTCCCTGCTCAGCAGGGAGTCTGCTTCTCCCTCACTGTCTGCCCCTCCCCCCCGTTTGTGCACTCTCTCTCTCTCAAAATAAATAAAATCTTAAAAAACAAAAACAACAACAAAAATATTCTATTCCAGAAAATGTTCAAGCTTAAGCAGATGCAAAGTAGAGAGACTAGAATAATGACCTATCACCCAGCTTCAAAACTGACCAGTTTTCTACTGGTAATTTTAAAGCTAACACAGAACCTTTTACTGGAATGATCCCTAAATGTTACATATCAAAAGCCTGCAACCCCAAAGAGCAATTTCTGTATTCACCAATAACCACAGGAAACAGCTTCTCTATGAAAGTATCAAAATAAACAGACTTCAATTTCAATTCTTAACCAACTGAGCCACCCAGGCACCCTTCAATTTCAATTCTTAAGGAATATCCAGCAGAATAATTATATTTGCAAGGTGTTTCTACAGGTTATATTACCTGAATTTTTAATTCCCAAAAGACACATTTCTAATTCATTTATATATGCTGAGCAAGAATCACTGTGTTGCACAAACCCAGAGAAAGCCTCCATGGTCACCACAGTCAGCCTTCTAGGACTGTGTCTTTTTTTTTTTTTTTTAAGATTTTATTTATTTATTTGACAGAGAGAGAGACATAGCAAGAGAGCGAACACAAGCAGGGGGAATGGGAGAGGGAGAAGCAGGCTTCCCGCTGAGCAGGGAGCCCGACACGGGGCTCGATCCCAAGACTCTGTGATCATAACCTGAGCCGAAGGCAGACGCTTAACGACTGAGCCACCCAGGTGCCCCAGGACTGTCTTATTTCACAACCACTTCCCATTCCGAAATAAGCATTTGGGGCAAACTTCAAGGAAACCAAGGCAGTACAGATTTAGTTCATTTGTGATCTACTAAAACCCATCATGCGCTTGCATTTGGAGAAGCTAAAGCAAAGTCTCTACTTACTGGTACTGTAACATCATCATAAAAACTCCAAGCTAAAGCCCATCTCATTGTCCGACCTTGACAGAACTCAGTGTAGGTGACTTTAGGAACCTGAAACCAACAAACATGTCATCTTAATCAAATTGAAGTAATTCTACCAGTATGTTTTGGGTTGTTGCCTCATATTAATTATGTGTTCGTTTTTCTTTTTATCAGTTAACAAACACTACTATCCCAAAACAGTTATGCATAGCTATCTAAATTATCTCCCAACAAAGTTGTGTTTTGTTTTTTTCTCTCCTAAAACATTAGAGAGAATTTATAGAGTTCTGGTTTCAAAGTCCAAATATTCAAAACACCCAAAATAACACAGCTCTTCAAAGAACCACTGGTAAATGATTCAAATGTTTTTTTTTCTTTTCTTTTCTTTTTGGAAAAAGAGCCACCAAAGCCTAGCTAGATACAGCTATGCAGTCTCCCTTTTGTCTATCAGATTTTAGGGGGAAAAAAATGAAACTACTTTGTTGCTGTTAGAATTTTAACAAAGAAAAGGTGTGATAGGGAAATCAGGATGGGTACAATGTCTGAGAGAAACCAGAAATCAGAAGCTTGGTCTCTACCACTGACCACACATTTGACCCCCTTCTCTGAAAAGTAATCTGGCTCACGCTTACTTGTGCCCAAACACCATAAACTGGGAGAGGAGTCAGGAGGCAGTATTAATTTGCCACCTGCTTTTCAAAAGAGAAGCAAGGGGCTGAATTAATGTGGACTGCACCATAAAGGGAAGCAAACTTGCAGGAGTATCATTCTAGTTCTAGCTGATCTTTGATAACTAGGTATGTAACCCAGAACAGGCCGCTAACGTATATCAGTTTCTGAGATCATAAAGCAGTCAGATGTGGAGTGAGTGACAGGTAGAACCAGGTGTTCTGATTTCTGGTATCTCTCTGATGTTGTACCCATCCTGTTTTCCTCCATCTTTTCTCTAACTGTCAAAGAAGGCCTTTTAAAAATAATTTATAAAAAGCCTCTTTTACAAAATTAAAAAATAAAAACCAAACACATTTAGAGTTTAAGGTATAAAGGAAAATTCCATACTCTAACTCCCATCCAGAGGAGATGTATTAGAATAGTAATGACAAAGACTTACCCCTTGTATACGAAGTTCTTCCTTCAGAGGAGCCAGGCTGCATTTTTTCCCCAGCATACAGCTATACCACCTAGGGGAAAAAAAATCAGAGAAGTAAAACACTGTTTACATGGTTACATTTTTAAATTAAGCATTTTTCACATGAAAAAAATGAGAAGAGCAAAAAATTTTGAGTTAAGTTACAAGCAACAATAACAAAAATTTTATTTAGACAAAGAGCAAACCTAGCAAAGGAAAACAAAGGCACCTGGGTGGCTCAGTCTGTTAAGCATCTGCTTTCAGCTGAGGTCATGATCCTGAGGTCCTGGGATTGAGTCCTGTGTCAGGCTCCCTGCTCAGTGGGGAGTCTGCTTCTCCCTCTAACCCTCCCCCCTCTCATGTGCTCTCTCTTATTCTCTCTCTCAAATAAATAAAATCTTTAAAAAAAAAAGAAAAAGAAAAAATACACATCAGTAAAACCACTACAAAACCGTACTTTCAAACAGGGGAGGTAGGAGTATGGCTTCATTCTGTTGTGTCTCAGTCACATCTGGTGGGAGTTTGGCTTACCTAATTCTGTTTTCTGAAATAAGCACCATCAAAACAGACATGAATCAGGAATGTGACGCTTCCAGGCGCCCTCCCAGGTCAGCCCTTCTTCCTGGCATTACTAAGCTTTCTCTCCCTGACTCTCCCACCACCTACCATTAGGCCAGTTCCTTCCTCAGGACTGACGCAGGGGTAACCAATCCTATGTACCCAGAGAAGTCTTGCAGGTGACTCTGGAAGTGGGCACAGGGCCTATCTCTCCGATGTACTGCCTCCATTCAGAGAACGAGAAAGCCACCCCTCCTCAAGAAGCAACTAGGGATGACCGAGCAGGATGCTCTGTAGTTCCGACCCAGACCAGACTCCAAAAACAATCCTTTCGGCCTCAGCCTAAAGCTAAGGTGGTCAGCTTAAGTCAGGTTTAAATCCCTCCTGGGTTTACGGATAGCTTTTTGTTGATGCTGGTAACAATTTTTCCTCATGAACTACCATACTAATGCCCAATAACTTTAAAGGGGTGGGAGTGGGGAGTGTTTTAAAATAGATTTATTTTATTTTAAAGATAATTGCACATAATGTTATCAGTGGGCCTACGGTGGAATGCCTCTTGCCACCCCAAAGCAGGCTACTTTATAGAAACTTTCCCAACTGTGCAAGAAATTAACTAGCAACAAGCCTGAAAATTTGGTTACGTATATAGGTACAAAGCTGGTTCATCAAATCCCTGTTCTGGCCCTCAACCCAATGCATTTCAACTAAAGCATCATCCACCTCCTTCTTCACATTTATCAAACACTTGAATAGGTAATGTCCAGCCACTCCTTGGAGATGGCTCCCCTTTTCAGACACTGGACTGCTGAACTGCTCAGAAGCCTCTCGGTCCTGGGCTCCATTGCTAGAGCCTTTACAACTCTCCAAAATCTCCATCCCTCCCTTTTCCTCATTCCTTTCATCCTCCATGGGTTCTGGGTTTTCTTCCTGGGAAAGGAGATCCTGGTTTGAGCAATGGCCCTCAACAGTGGCAGACTCGCCTTCCTGTGAAGCAGGCCCACATGGGACACTCTCCCCGGGGCCCTGGGCCAAATCTTGGCTACTGCCAGACTCTTTGGGGGTGGACTTTTTCTCCTCCAAGGCTTGGATGACATCCTCAGGAGCTCGGGGAACTTCTCTCAATTGTCTTACTCGTTCTCTTTTCTTTCTCCTTAAATGAATCCAGGAGTTTTCTATTGCTGTTAGAAAAAGGCTAACTTCTTCCTTTCCACAGGGAACTCGCTTATGCTGGACCTATTGGAGGAAAAACAGAATTTTAGAGGAAATCACTTTTCTCCTCTCAAAACTCCTTTAAAAAAAAACAAAAAAGAGGAGGAAGGAAAAAAGAGATTGTTGTAGGTACTTCTTCAATGTGCTTAACCAGGTACCTTCAGGTCGGTGAGGATTTTTTCAATCCATGCTGTCACAACTACTATGCCTTCCACTGTCTCAGAGCCCAGGGACGATGATGCTTTAAGGGACAATTCTTTCATCACAGACTCCAACACTACGAATGTAATGGGTTTCCTTGACTTCTCTAATTTTCTTCGCTTACTGGGTGGTGACTGAAAGAAAAAGAAGGCATGGGGGAAGAAGGGAAAGTAATCCAAATAATCAAATCCCATGCATTACAATGAACTCAACTAGGGACATTTCCATGACTTCTACTACCAAATGCAGAGCACTAAAAACAAAAAGGCCTTTGCACGTTTACTTTCAATACTTAAAACAACTCTGCCAAACAGATTTATCACCTCGTCATTTTATAGAAAGGAAAACTAAGATACAAAGATATGTAACCATATCAGATGGGTCACATAGCTAGTAATTTGCAAAGTTAGAACTGAACCCCAAACCCAGGTTCTTTGCCATAGGCTATCGGTATATAACACCCTCCAATTACTAAATGTTCTTCATCTATGTGTTGTGCCTAACACACACCTGTACAATTATTTATTTCATGGCAACTCAAGGGCGCTGGGAGCACTGTGTTCTCTTCTTTAAAGAACTGCATGGTTTAGGGGCACTTGGGTGTCTCACTCAGTTGAGCATCTGCCTTTGGCTTGGGTCGTGATCCCGGGGGTCCTGGGATCAAGCCGCAAGTCCAAGTCGGGCTCCCTGCTCAGTGGGGAGTCTGCTTCTCCCTCTCCCTCTGCCCCTCCCCCGCTCATGCTCTCTTTCTCAAATAAATAAATAAAATCTTAAAAATAAAAACTGCATGGTTTAAAATCTCCTATATGTAGTCTAAGTTGATACTTGTTGAGACTTGAAGGAAAGCAGCTGTTAGCCACAGCCTGTGAGATCACATGCGAGGAATGCCCAGGGCCACTAGGGTCACATGGGCAGAGAAGGAGGCCTGCTGAATCTTGGCTAACGTGAGGACCAAGCCAACAGTTAGCTGAGCACTGCCTCTGCTGGAAGAGGAGACACCAGTAGTGACAAGAAGAATGGATTTAAAAGCCAGTTCCACATCATTCAAGACTGTCGTCTTCCAATTTCAAGCTTAGGAAGTGCATTATACTCTACCCACTAGAGGGACTCAAGTTCCATTTTAAAAACGAAATGACATTGCTGTATTTAAAACTTATTTCTATAAAGGTAAAAATTTACTAAATTTTTTTTTT